CGGTAAAGTGACAAAGACAGAAATATCGTTGCGTACAGCGTTGCCACTAGTTGTAATAAATATCTAACACTATACAGAAAATAATGAATTTTAACTGATCAGTAATCAGGAAATGTATAAGTATTACTCATTACAAGCTCATTACTGATTTTTGTCATAAATAATACCTTTTAATCGTACTAGTATTGTGTATTATCTATAATTTGCCACAACCTACAACTCTACTGCTTACTATATTTTGATTCTGCTATAAACTGGTAACGTAAAATTTAGATATGACAACGCGCTTTACTCTCAATCATTATTGGTTTTACTATAGTTTAAGGATATTGTCGTTTACTGATTGTAGAATATTATAAAAAGATCTCCTGATTTTTATATATGGTCCATCATCTGAAACAAATATAAGTATATAGTTTGTCAAATCTAGGAAGAGACTTTAGAGTTATCTCTCTCTCATTCTCGCTAGATGTGTGTTTGTTAGAAGACGATGAGGGCGAGGAGGAAAGATAACTCTCAAATCACTTCCTAGATTTGACAAGTTGTTCTTACACTGGTCCTGTAAATAGCTCTATTTTCATCGAGATATTGGCTTCATTTGAAACATCCTCAATTTTGTGAGAGTAAGAAATTAAAAATGCAAATAGAATGCAATAAAAATGCAAATGCAAATAAAAATGCACAACAGAAGTCAAATTTGGCAATAACAAAAATCATATTGACAACTTTAATTTCTAGAAAATTAAATGGGAACTAGTTTTTTTATCGTTCAATGAATACATTAAAAATAGTAATTTACGTAACACATCTAGAAAATACTGTCTTTCCGACGAGCAGACAAAATTCTAGGACGATCTGGGGCGTGGGTGGTTTGCTCTACACACTCAATCGACCGCTGTGCGAACCGGTGGTTAGAACCGCTAGGCCGGACGATTGATTTCCACTTCCTATCATGTGAAAAACAGATTTCAACAGAATGATTTGAAATCCCTGAAACAACTGAAAAAAAAGGAGAATTAAAAATGAATAGCTGAAAATAACAATTATATTAAGCAAAAATAACCTGAAATGAAAGAATAGTGTCATCACCCGAAGACGATTGAAGTTACCAACAATCGAAACGTCGTGAACTAACGTGACTTGGAATCTCTTAACCTTTTATTTTTATTTTTATTTCTTTATATTTTTTGTTAAATCGTTCTATTTTACTTGTACTTAATTTCACTATTCTTCCATTTCAGGTTATTTTTGCTTAATATAATTGTTATTTTCAGCTTTTCATTTTTAATCCTCCTTTTTTTTCAGTTGTTTCAGGGATTTCAAATCATTTTATATATTAGACAATGGAAGTCCAAACTAGTGGAGTTCATCATGAAACATTGTCAATCACCTTCAAACAAAGATTTTAACAGATTTTTTATGGATTTTAACTTGTAGGCGAATCCAAAAAAATTGTTTTTGGACGTGTTACGTACACTATTTTTCGGCAACACATTTCTTTACTATATTTTTTTGTTGAACAAACATTTCAATTTTTATTTGTAATAAATGTTGAAATTTGAACAGAAGATAGCAATTGTTGATATTGAAGGAATTCAAATTGTTCGTGTGCTAGGTATATTTGAATGCATTTTGTTGAAGTCAGAACAAGAAGGTTCTGTTTCACATTGATTGTTTTTATCTGATAATTTTGGAATGGTCGTGGAAATTTCAATTTTGTTCGTAAGCGAATTGACTATATATCTTTCAGCAATATTGGTAAATTTACAGTCACCGTTTTTCTTCAATTTGTAATGTTTCCACTATTATCAGCAGATAACGTCACTGAAGTTCGACGAATGCTTTGGCCTGTGTAATTTTTAGGATTGGGTAAATTTAAAAATTCTGCGATTCTTGATTCGATATTTCCAAAACTGTGGATACCAACAGGCTGCTTTTTCGTAATTTACGAATAATCTGTTATGTGGATTATGGAATGGCCGTGAAGATGAATATTGCCATTGAAACAGCATTTTTTTTTTACAATTACAACAAAAGTTCACTCAATATGTGTTATGGATTCTGGTATTTTCACAAGCAACATGTCTTCCTTGTCGTTTATCAGATCAACTGACATTTTCATTAGTTCTTTCCGTCTACTCGCACCGACTAACCCAATAATTATTGCTAAGCAAATTGACTTGATACTTTCATATAATAATTTTTTAAGGACAAAACATATACACTGGAGAAAAATCTTTGGAAAAACGTTCTCAGGAAGTTTATTCCACATAAACGCAGTTGTCATGATGAAAGAGTTCTCAAACAGTGAAGTTCAGAGTGTACTGAGTTGAACCTCAAAACAATGAGCAGCACCAGTCCGTCACGTATTTCTGATACATGCCGCTCTTGATGAAATCAAATGTGTCACTTGAACACTTCCCGTGAAAGTATCTATGAAAGAAAGACAAAGCTCCAACCTCCATACATGAGAACAATACTCCAAAGAAGGTCTGATCTGAGCTTCATAAAGCATCAAAATTTGCTGAGGTGTGTACAGTTTTCTGGTTCGGAACAGTGTTCCAAACTTCTGAGAAGCAGAGATTGCAATTCCAGCGACATGATTGTGCCAAGACATATTGGTGTCCATTTTAACACTCAACAAATTTATCGAAGTAGAAAGTGGAAATGTCTGACCTGACATTATTATATCCGATTCGGGGACATCTATCTTCTTGGAGAAAACCGATGCCTGAGTTTTTGTGGCCTTGAATTGAACCTGGTTACTTTCACCCCAATTCTAAATCACTTCTATATCACCATTGAGATATGCAACCTCTTGCAGACAAGTGTGCTGTCGTCAGCAAAGCAATATACTGATTTCTTGATTTTTTCCAATAAGTCATTGATTTACAATAAAAAAATGATTGGAGACAATATGGGTTTCTGGGGAACACCAGCGTTGATGGTGAAAGTATCTGAGAGATATCCATGGACGGCCATTTGCAGGAAACGTTCTTTCAGGAAGCTAAAGAGCCATACACAAAAATGATCTGACAAGCTATATCAAAGTTTGGCCAGTAAACCCTCATACCATACACGGTCAAAAGCATTAGAAATACCAAGCGCAACAGTTCTTGATTCTCCATGTTTCTCGATCGGTTATTCCAAACATGGGTGACATACGATAGAAAGTTGCTTGTTGATCTTTGTTTCCGAAAGACATATTGATGATCGCTCAAGATGTTGAAGCCTTACAAATATTTAGGAATATGGTGGTTTACGACTATCTCGTGATATCACGTAATATTTTATCACATGACCTTTAGCATTAGACATGTTTCATTATTTCCTTCCATAATTCTGCTCACTGTTGCCGACTTCCGATTTCGTTACTCTATAACCAACATTTTTGTTTTCAAGGAATGCGGTAACCTTTGGGAAAGTGGCTATGTTTTCATTTTTTTTTCACCGAGATGGTACTTTTCAACAGTACATGCTCCATAAGGTAGAGGATTTGACAGTTCTGAATTTTTGCGCCTAATAAATCAGAATTACATCGCAAGGATATATTATTTCCTTGCATTTCTTCATATCCATAAATTTCGAGAATGAATCATAAACGTTTTCGTACCCGTACATTATTTTTTCCTAACGAATATTCCATACAATGAATTATTGTTCATTTATACACAGGCATCTAGGTACAGTTATCGAAAATTACAATAGTCGTATAGTTTCTCATAATAATTAACACAGAAATCTATAATTGTGATGCACTGTTTGGAACCTTTGCTGTAGTAATGAATATTACTGGAATTTTTTCAACTCCTCGACACGGGTTTCGATCATGAGTTAACTTGATGATATTATGAATAACGATGGTGGACCAATACCTGATAGTATACTATATAGCTTGTTGAAATGATATTTTAATTATCAGATTTACCTGAATATTAGATAAGGCCACATTGTAAATTAATTAAAGAATATTAGATAAGGCCACATTGTAAAATTAATTTAAGACCGTTAGATAAGGCCACATTGTAAAATTAATTTAAGACAATTAAGAGGAAGGTACCTAGCAGAGGTATCTATTGTGTGAATGAAGGTAATCACTTGGTGATCAAAACACGTGTCGAGGTGTTAAAAATAACGGTTTGATGGTGGGACAAAATTCGAGTAATACAAAGTAATACAAAAAACTATGTATTTATCTCAACAAGTATCACATATATAATCTCATCAGATGGTATTTATATCACAGGTTAATAATTGTAATATTTGAACAAGTGGTCAAGTTGATCACCGTTATATAATTAGAATCAAAACTAATGTTTTGGTGACTTGTCGAAACATTTGAACTATATATACGTTGATT